TTGGAGGGGTAGCGGTGTGGTAGAGGCGTTGGAGGGGTAGCGGTGTGGTAGAGGCGTTGGAGGGGTAGGGGTGTGGTAGAGACGTTGGAGGGGTAGGGGTGTGGTAGAGGCGTTGGAGGGGTAGCGGTGTGGTAGAGGCGTTGGGGGGTAGGGGTGTGGTAGAGACGTAGGAGGGGTAAGGGCGTGGTAGAGGCGTTGGAAGGGTAGGGTGTGGTATAGACGTAGGAGGGGTAGGGGTGTGGTAGAGGCATTGGAGGAGTAGCGGTGTGGTAGAGGCGTTGGAGGGGTAGGCGTGTGGTAGAGGCGTTGGAGGGGTAGGGGTGTGGTAGAGGCGTTGGAGGGGTAGCGGTGTGGTAGAGGCGTTGGAGGGGTAGCGGTGTGGTAGAGGCGTTGGAGGCGTAGGGGTGTGGTAGAGGCGTTGTAGGGATAGGGGTGTGGTAGAAGCGTTGGAGGGGTAGGGGTGTGGTATGAGAGGCGTTGGAGGGGAAGTAAGGGTTGTGGTACGAGGCGTTGGAGGGGTAAGGGGTGTGGTAGATGACGTGAATGCAAGGGGTAGGGTCGGTGGTAGAGACGTTGGAGGGGTAGGGTGTGGTAGAGACGTTGGATGGGGTAGGAATTGTGGTAGAGCGCGTTGAGGGGTATGGGGTGTAGGTTAAGAAGGCGTAGGGGAGAGGGTAGGCGGTGTGGTACGAGGGCGTTGGAGGGGTAGAGATGTGGTAGAGGGCGTGGGAGTTTGGTAAGGGTGTAGGTAGAGCCGCGTTGAATTGGGATAGCGGTGTGGGTAGAGAGCGTTGGAGGAAGTAAAGGGTGATGGTAGAAGGCGTTGGACGGAGTAAGGCGCTCCGCTGATAGAGACGTCTGGAGGGGTAGGGGTGTGGTAGAGGAGCGTTGAAGGGTAGCGGTTGTGGTAGAGGCGTTGGGGGGACTAGGGGTGTGGTAGAGACGTAGAAGGGGTACGGGGTGTGGTAAGAGGAGTTGGAGGGGTAGGGTGTGGTAAGAGACGTTGGAGGGGTTAGGGTGTGGTAAGAGACGTATGAAGGGTCGCGGGGTGTGGTAGAGGGCGTTGGAGGGGTCGCAGTGTGCGTCAGAGGCGTTGGAACGGGGTAGGGTGATGGTAGAGGCGTACGGAAGGTAGAGGTGTGGTAGAGAGCGTTAGAGGGGTAGGGTGTGCGTAGAGGGCGTTGGATGGGTAGGGGTGTGGTAGAAGGCGTAAGGAGGGGTAAGGGGTGATGGTAGAAGCGTTGGACGGGGTAGCGGTGTGCGGTAGAGACGCTCAGGAGGGGTAGGGGCGTGGTAGAGGCGTTTGGCAGGGATAAGCGTATGGTAGAGATCGTAGGAGGCGGTAGGGCGTATGTCAAGCGCGCTTGGCGGGGTCAGCGGGTGTGGTAGAGGCGTTGGGCGGGGTAGGTGTGGTAGAGACGTAGGAGGGTAGGGGTGTGTGTAGCGGGCCGTTGGAGTGCGGTACGCGCGGTGTGGTAGCAAGCGCGTCTGAGGGATAGGGGTTGTGGTACGAAGCGTCAGGCGAGGGGTAGGCGTGTGGGTAGATAGCGTTGAAGAAGGGTAGGGGTGTGGTAGAGCCCGTTGGAGGGGTAGGGCGTGTAGAGAGCGTTTGGAGGGAGTTATCGGCGCTCGGTATGAGACGTAGGAGGGGTAGGGGCAGTGGATAGACGCGTTGGAGACGGTAGGGGTGTGAGTAAAGGCGTTGTAGTGGGTAGCGGGGTGTGGTAAGAGACGTTGGAGGGGTAGGGTGTGTACGAGGCGTTGGGAGGGGTAGCGTGTGGTAAGTGCCGGCCGCTTGCCCCGGGGGGTATGCGTGGTAGACGCCGTAGGAGGGGTAGGGGCGTGGGTAAGAGAGGCCGTTGGAGGGTAGCGTGTGTGAGTAGAGGCGTTGGAGGGAGGGGTGTGAGTAAGGGCGTTGGAGGGTAGGGGTGTGGTAGAAGGCGTTTGAGGGGTAAGGGCGTGGTAGAGGCGTTGGAGGGTAGGGTGTGGTAGAGGCGTTGGAGGGGTAGGGGTGTGGTAGAGACGTAGGAGGGGTAGGGGTGTGGTAGAGACGTAGGAGGGGTAGGGGTGTGGTAGAGGCGTTGGAGGGGTAGGGGTGTGGTAGAGGCGTTGGAGGGGTAGCGGTGTGGTAGAGACGTAGGAGGGGTAGCAGTGTGGTAGAGGCGTTGGAGGGGTAGGGGTGTGCTAGAGGCGTTGGAGGGGTAGGGGTGTGGTAGAGACGTTAGAGGGGTAGGGGTGTGGTAGAGGCGTTGGATGGGTAGGAGGAGGAGAGGAAGTAGAGAATGAGGGAAGAGAGTGATGGAAGAATAGGAAGAAAGAGGAAGAATGGAAAATGTTCGTCGGATATATTTATTATCACAGCACCTGTGTAAGTACGTGTGATGTCTATGTATATATATGTCTATGTGTATGTGTGTATCGGAGTAATAAATACACTAATAGCCTCGTAAGTCACTCATCGCATCCAAAATACAACAGGATTTGCACGGTTTACAATATTTTAATAATTTTTTAACATAATTAAAATAATTACAATATTTTTAATACAATATACTAATATTTTAAGATATTTAGTCAAAACATAGACTTTTCAGCTCCCATCCTCTTTGAACTTACAAATGACCTTTTAAAATGAAGAATTGGTTGCTTCATAACATAGCCTGAAAAGCAGTAAATACAATTCCAAGGCTCTATATTTTTTGGGGGGGAGTTTCCCCAGACCCGCCTGTATTCGGCTGTCGCAAATCGCGGCGGTTAGCCATGCGAGTGCCTGCGGCCACGCACCAATAATCGCCACGCTATTGTTTGTACTTGCGAAGGGTTGTAGATCTCGCGTGTCATGCAATTACGCGTCGACCGGCGTAGAAGTGGCAGCGTAGTCGCAGAGGATAACCAGTGCACCGTTTGAGCAACAGCAGCGTAGAGAGCAGATATAACCACAGTAGACGTAACGTAGACGTAGTCACGGATTAGTAATTTTTCACATAGACTTTTATTATACTACACATTAACAAATCATATATTATACATAATTATAATACAGCCTATAGGCAACCATGCCTAGGCCTCTCTGACTGACTAACATAGTCTCTTCCTGCTAAATCTTATACTCTTCTGATGTGTCCTCCTTTGCTTGTCAAATGCTGCTTATATTATATGGGATCAAAAACCGCGGCTCTCAGAGCTGCGTGTCTGTCTAAACAACCTAGAACCCTTGCTGGGAACAAGCGATGCCCGCTCGTAGGTGCATCGCGTCGTGTCACTTATTCTCTACCAATGGCGGATGGGAGCGCGCCGCGTCCCATTGGCGCGCGTCGAACCGTCCCGCTCCTGTGTAGCATGGGCTAGGTGTCAAGCGTCGCATTCGTTGTTCACGCTTGTCAATTCAACTACTGGCATGAAGGTGCGACAATGCTGAATACATATACTATTTACACTGGCGTGATCCTACTATTTGGTCTGCAGTAGCACATTTTGGGAGGCCACTACGGTCCTGGTGTGTGTTTGTGTGTGTGTGTGTGTGTGTGTGTGTGTGTGTGTGTGTGTGTGTGTGTGTGTGTGTTGTGTGGATGTGTGTGTGAGTTGATGTGTGTGTGTGTGTGTGTGTTGTGTGTTTGTGTTGGTGTGTTTGTCTTGTGTGTGGTGTGTGTTGTGGTGTTTGTGTGTGGTGTGTGTGATGTGTGTGTGTGTGTGTGTGTATTTGTGCGTGTGTTGGTGTTGTGTTGTGTGTGTGTGTTTTTGTGCGGTTTGTGATGTGTGTGGTGTGTGTGTGTTGTGTGCGTGTGTTTGTGTTGCTGTTGTTGGTTCCTGTGTGCTGTTTTGTGTTGTGTGGTTGTGTGTGGTGCTGTGTTTGATAGTGTTGTGGTCGTGTGTGTGTGTGTGTGGTGTGTGTGTCGTGTGTGTGTGTGTGTGGTGTGAGTGTTGTGAGTGTGTGCTGTGATGTGTATTGTGTGGCGTGGGCTGTGTGTGTGTGTGTGTGTGTGTGTGTGTGTGTGTGTGTGTGTGTGTGTGTATGTGTGTGTGTGTTCTCAGCCTCATCTCTCTTTATCTATTCACAGTTAACTCTGCCGACGTCTGCAGCAACAATAACGGCGACAGCAGAAACAATAGCAGGATCAACAACAACAACAACAACAACAACTTGAGCAGCGGCAACAATTGTTAATTAACAGCAGCAACAGCAGCAAAGGCAGCAGCAACGACAACGACGACAACAGCAGCAGCAGCAGCAGCAGCACAACAATCATAATAAGATCTACAACGACAACCGCAAGAGCAATATAGCGAAGGAACAAACAACAACAACAACAACAACAACAACAACAACAACAACAACAACAACAACGACGACGACGACGACGACAAAAGCATCAGCATCATAAGCAGCAGCGGAAGCAGCATCAGAAACATCAGCAACAGTAGCAGCAGCAGCAACAAAAACAACAGGAGGAGTAGTAGCAGCAGCAGCAGCAGCAGCAGTAGCAGCAGAAGGTATATACCGTCCGCCGACCATCCGACGTCATGTCTGGCTCCAGGCTGTCGCCGACCGCCGACCCGCTGCAGCAGCCGACGTCGAAGAAACAGCAGCGAACTTTACTGCAGCGCGACCACGCCATGTTTGTTCTTCTCTGCTTGCTCCTGCTGCTCATTGGTATGCAGTATGCGGCAGGCGCCATGATGGGTCCAGGCAACACGCCCGTCTCGATCATGCTCACTTACCTGAACGCGTCGTCGCTGCGACGCGGTGGCTCCGTCTTCCCGCTCGCGCGCGCCCTCTTTAACGTCACGGATGTGGCGACGTCTAGTGGTGCCACGCTGAACTTTTCGGCGTTTGAGTTTCCGACGACGCGGGCGATCCTGAATGAATCACATCCGCTGTGCCCGGTGCTGCCACCTAAGCTCGGTGAGTGTGTGCGCGCGCGCGCGCGTGTGTGTGTGTGTGTGTGTGTGTGTGTGTGTGTTGTGTGTATGTGTGTGTGCGTGTTTGTTATGTGTGTTTGTGTGTGTTGTGTGTGTGTGTGTGTGTTGTGTGTGTGTGTGTTGTGTGTGATGCGCGTGTGTTGTGTGTGTGTGTGTGGTGTGTGTGTGTGTGTGTTTGTTGTGTGTGTGTGTGTATGTGTGTGTGCGTGTTTGTTGTGTGTGTTATGTGTGTGTGTGTGTGTTGTTGTGTGTGTGTGTGTGTGTGTGTGTTGTGTGTGTGGTGGTGTGTGGTGTGTGTGTTGTGTGTGTGTGTGTGTGTGTGTGTGCGTGTTGTGTGTGTGTGTGTGTGTGTGTGTGTGTGTGTGTGTGTGTGTGTGTGTGTGTGTGTGTGTGTGTGTGTGTGTCTTCGCGTTCATCCTCTTTTTTCTCCTCCTCCTCCTCCTCCTCCTCCTCCTCCTCCTTCCTCTCTCATACTCATGTCTCTCTCTCTCCCTCTCTCATCCTCCTCCGCCTCCTCCGCCCCTTCCTCCTCTTCCTCCCTCCTCCTCCTCCTCATCCTCCTCCTCCTCCTCCTCCTTCTCCTTCTCCCCTTCCTTCTCCTCCTCCTCCTCCTCCTCTCTCATAGTCATCTCTCTCTATCCTTTTACAGTCGGACCGCTTGCGTACAACTGACGCCGCCAGCTGGGAGCATATAGAGGGACGCTATCTCCCCCCTCCTCCTCTCCCTCCTCCTCCTCCTCCTCCTCCTCCCCCTTCTCCTCCTCCCCCTTCTCCTCCTCCTCCTCCTCCCCTTCCTCCTACTCCTCCCTCCTCCTCCTCCTCGTCCTCGTCCTCCTCCTCCTCCTCCTTCTCCCCCTCCTTCAATCTCTCTCTCTCTATTCTTCAACAGTCGGACCGCTAGCTGTACAGTTGACGCCGCCCAGTTGGGAGCAGATGGAGAAACGCTACAGCAACCTGGAACCGGGCGGATGGTGGCGCCCCGAAAACTGCACGTCGCGCCACCGTGTGGCCATTATCATACCTTACAGGGACAGGGAGCCTCACCTGCGCATATTCCTCAACAACATGCATGCTATGCTGCAGCGACAGCAGCTCGACTACGCCATCTACGTCATCGAGGAGGTGCGTGCACATGCGCGGCGTGCGTACGCGCAGCGTGGGAGACGTACCCCCATGTAGAGAATGTACGCCTCCTTGTAGAAAATGTGGTTTGAGTCTTTGAGCTAGTGTTGGTGTTGTCAGGTAATGTGTGGTAGCGCACGCCTATCTTATTTTTAGCTATCTATCCATCTATCTATCCTATTTCTAGTCTATCTAATCTATCTTATCTATCTAACTCTATTATCTATCTATCTATCTATCTATTCTATTATCTATCTAATCTACTCTATCTATCTATCTATCTACTCATCTATCTATTCTATCTATCTTCTATCTATCTATCTATCTATCTTACTTATCTATCTTATCTATCTATCTAACTATCTTAACTTATCTATCTATTTCTCTATCTATCTCATTCTATCTATCTATCTTTAATCTTATTTCTATCCTATCTCCTCTAATCTATCTATCATCTATACTATCTTCATAACTCTATTATATCTATCTATCTATCACATATCTAATCTCAATTCTATATTCTATCTTATCTATCTATCTATTCTATCTATCTATTCTATTCTATCTATCTATCTATCTATCTTATCCCCTATCTATCTTATCCTATCTATTTCTATCTATCTATTCTATCTATCTATCTATCTTAATTCTGATTTGATTCTTATCTATCTATATCTATCTCTTATCTATCTATGTTATCATCTATTATCTATTATCTACTTTACCATCTTATCTATCTATCTTATCTATCTATCTATACCTATTCTAATCTTATCTATCTAATATCTATTCTATCTATCTACTATCTATCTATCTATGCTATATCTATCTATCTATCTATATCTATCTATCTCATCTATCTATCTATCTATCTATCTATCTAACTATCTTCTATCTTATCTATCCTAAATCTATCTATTATACTATATATCTATCTAACCGGTTATTTTGTTATTCTCTATCTATTTATCCATCCATCATCCATTTCATTTCATTCATTCATCTCCCTCTGTCTCTAACCCTCTATCTATCCATTCATCTCCATCTATTTACTTCTCTCTCTAAATATATATAACCCTTTCTCTATATCTGCATCTCTCTCTCTCTCTCTCTCTCTCTCTCTCTCTCTCTCTCTCTCTCTCTTCTCTCTATGCACTCTCTAATCATATGTTATACATCTCTCTCCGGTCTCTCCATCCCACCTCTCTATCTATTTTAGACAGTTCTCTCTCCTCTCTCCTCGTCTCTCTCTCTCCTTCCATCTCTCCTCTCTCTCTCTCTCTCTTCCATCCACGTTTCTCTATCTACGTATTTATTAAAACTACCGATCTCCTCTCTCTTCCATCCATCACTACACTCGTACGCCCATCCATCTAACTCTCTCTTTATCTGTCCATCTCTAACCCTCTCTGTTTCCCTCTGCAGATCGAAGGTCCAAAGTTCAACCGCGCCAAGCTGTTCAACACGGGCTTCGTCGAGGCGTTGAAGCGCTATCCGTATCAATGCTTCATCTTTCACGATGTCGATCTCATCCCTGAGGACGACCGCAACATCTATTCCTGTCCCGAGAGCCCGCGCCACATGAGTGTCGCCATCGACCGCATGCGTTACCGGTNCTTAGCTACGCCACTGGCAGGGGGACGCATGCGTTACCGGTAAGTGCGGGTGTGGGTGGGTGGATGGGTGGGTATGGAGGGGGGCGCATGCGTTACTGGGGAGTGCCCGCACACTCCCCGGTAACGCATGCGTCCTCTTTCCTCACCCTCCCAACACCGGTAACGCATGCGTCCCTCTCAAACCCACACCCGCACTCCCCGGTAACGCATGCGTCCCCCTCCATACCCACCCACCCCAGTAACGCATGCGTCTCCCTCCATACCCACCCATCCACCCACCCACCCCAGCACTCGGGGAGTGCGTTGGGAGGGTGAGGAAAGAGGACGCATGCGTTACCGGGGAGTGCGGGGGTGGGTGGGTATTGAGGGGGACGCATGCGTTACCGGGGAGTGCGGGGTGGGTGGGTGGATGGGTGGGTATGGAGGGGGACGCATGCGTTACCGGTGAGTGCTGGGGTGGGTGGGTGGATGGGTGGGTATGGAGGGGGACGCATGCGTTACTGGTGAGTGCTGGGGTGGGTGGGTGGATGGGTGGGTATGGAG